CCGATCTCTGTGTGAAGCGGCTCGAATGTTGTTATGCTTCACTTCCTTGCCTTTGTATTTATGGGCTAATGCTATTGCCACTACTTGTTTTACTCAGAACAGATCATATCTAAACAAGCGATTCTCTATCACTCCTTACGAGATCCTGAACAATCGCAAGTCAAATGTGAAATTATTTCATGTGTTCGGTTCAAGATGCTTCTTCTTCAACTCAAAAGAGAATTGAAACAAGTTTGATGCTAAGGCTGATGAAGGAATATTTTTAGGCTACTCCTTGCACTCTAAGGCATATAGAGTTCTAAATAAGCGCTCTAAGAAGATTGAAGAAACATACTACGTCACATTTGATGATAGCTATGTTAAAACGATGAAGACAATTGAAGGTGCAATGCAGGAAATCTTTCCAAAGACCAGTCAAGTTACAGCTCTTATCTCAAACCTTTTCGAGCAATATATGCTTCTTTTTGATGAGCCTCAAACGCCTATCGATTCTGAATCAAATGAAAAAGATAACAAAGTTGACAGTCTAAAGTAAATCATCGACAATGCTGCACAGAAGATGGCTGCTGATCAACCAAAGGCAACAGAAAGGTCAGATGTAAGCGAACCTTCTGATGATCGTCTTTTTGTCCAGGGGGGAGGGTTCGTCTCTTCCAAAGGATCAAGGTCCTTCATTCCAAGGGGAGAATTCAACGTCACAATCATCTAGCTCAACCGAAAGTCCAAACGAAGGGGATCATTCTGATCCAAATATTAAACAAGTGTTATCATTCGCAGGGGAGAATACACATGTCAATGATGATGATACACTATCAGAATTGGAAGAAGAAATCAATGCATAAATGGATCCCTCTTGTGATCCAAATTACCTACCTCTCAATAAATGGACCAAAGATCATCGTCAAATTCAAATCATTAGGGAATCTTCAGAAAAGGTGTTAACTCGATCACAGATCAAAGAGAAACAAGATGCACTCTTATCTCAAGTAGAATTTTGCATGTTCAACTCTTTTGTCTCCAAAGTTGAACCAAAGACTGTGAATTCGGCTCTTGATCATTTTGATTGGGTTCAATCCATGCAAGACGAGTTGAACGAGTTTGAAAGAAACAAAGTATGGCGTCTAATTCCAACACCTAAGGATGCTTCAGTAGTCGGTATCAAGTGGGTATTCAGAAATAAGATGGATAAGGAGGGGAATGTGATTCGTAACAAGGCTCGGTTGGTTGTAAAAGGCTACTGCCAAGAGGAATGTATCGACTATGAAGAAACCTTCGCTCAAGTTGCAAGATTAGAGTCGGTTTGCATCTTTCTTGCTTATGCTACACACAAAAACTTTAAAGTCTATCAGATGGACGTAAAGTGTGCCTTTCTCAACGCAGAACTCGAAGAAACTATGTACGTTGAGCAACCGCCAGGCTTCATGAACGAAAAGCACCCAGATCACTGTTACATACTAGACAAAGCGGTATATGGCCTTAAGCAAGCTCCTGGAGCATGGTATGAAACTCTCACTCGATTCTTAAAAATTTATAAATTTAAACAAGGTTCGGTTGACCCAACCTTCTTTCGTAAGAGAGAGGGTAACCACCTTATGATAGTCCAAATTTACGTTGATGACATCATCTTTAGCTCCATGAATCCCTGCTTAACAGCTGAATTCAGGAAGTTGATGGAAACTAAATTTGAGATGAGCTCAATGGGTCCAATTAACTTTTTCCTTGGCTTAAACATTAGACAGGGACCTGAAGGCATTTTTATCAATCAGGAGGCATATACAAAGACATTGCTTGCTAAGTTTGGCATGATGGGAGACTCCAAAGTGAAAGTTCCGATGGCTTTTGGGACCAAGCTTACACCTTCGTTGGAGAAGTCAGCCGCTGACATGGCGCTTTATCGTCAAATGATTGGGTCGTTAATGTATCTAATAGCAAGCAGACCTGACATCATGTTCTCAGTCTGCTACTGTGCTCGTTTCGAGGCTAACCCACACGAACCTCACATGCTAGCCGTGAAGAATATATTTTGCTAGCTGAAGTAAACCTCCTCTCTCAGTCTATGGTATCCAGCGAACTCATGATTCTTTTTCCAAGCTTTCTCAGATGCTGACTTAGGTGGTTGTGGATTGGATCGTAAAAGCACCACTGGAGGATGCCAATTTCTCAATGGTAAATTGGTTAGCTGGAAATCAAAGAAATAAACTTGTGTTTCTCTCTCCACGGCAGAAGCTGAATACATTGCTGCCGCCTCATGCACATCTCAGGTTGTATGGATACAAAGTCAACTTAGAGATTATGGGATGAACATGAAGAAAATCCCACTATATTGCGACTCTGAAAGTGCAATTAGGATTTGTCATAACCCAGTGCAACACTCAAAGACAAAGCACATAGCATTGAGGTATCACTTCATCAAAGATCACGTGGAAGGTGGCAACGTGGACATTCACTTTGTGAGGACAACTGATCAACTGGCAGATATATTCACTAAGGCTTTACCTGAAGCAGGTTTCAACAAAATCTTTCAAGGCCTAGGAATGATGGAAGCAGATTCAGTACCAAAATCGCCTTCGCTTCACTAAAGGTAAGAAGCGCAATAGAGCGAATGCTCGGTCTATTTCGGGTTCGGCTCAACCAAGAACCGAAATGAGCTGAATGCTCGGTCTTTTTCGTGTTCGGTCCATCTGAACTCGTTAGTCTCTTTTTCATAGCAAGGAATTTTGGTTGTATTCTTTTTCATAAAATCCAAAAATATTTTTCTTTTTCGTTTTATTAAAAATTTTCAAAAAAATACAAAAATATCTTTTGTTTTATTTTATTTTTATCTAATTTTTTCCTTTGTATAAATTTTACTCTCGATGGTGAAGCTCAATCATGTATAACCTCTTTTTTATAAATTAGTTAAGTGTCCCAAGATGCATGTTGTTGCATGTTGACTAAAGCCTCTACAGATTTTGAGTGAAGCCTTAATAACATGATATATACATATCACGTTTTCCCAACCTAGGCTGTTTCATTCACTCTAATCATGAGCTACCTTACTTTTCTCATATTGAGCTTAGAGTTTTCTGCTTGGTCCTTCGTTTATAGAAGAGGTACTTTTGCTTCTTATACCACCTATATCATTTTTCTTCATTACACTTCATCTCACTAATGTAACCCTTGAGACTCTCAGCATTTACCACTGAGGTTTATGGTTATACAAAAATCCGTGTTCATGATCTTAGTTTCATGTCACTACGTACTAAGTGAAATCCACAATTCAACACCTTTAATGAATTGACGGTGCATCATTACTATGATACTGGTCTTAAATGAAATCTTTTTTTGTTTTGAGTGATCCTTCTGAAAATGTTTATTACCAAGACTTTTCTTCCCCAAGGATCCAGTTAAGTTTTTTTTTTTTTGAGATTTCTCATTTGTCATCAAGTCACTGAATATCTTACCTACCTACTTGTTTAACAGGCCACATTGGTCTCACAAGTACTTCGTTCCATTTCGGTCTTATCTCAAGTATCGAAATCTTAAATTGAAGCAAAAGCCAACCCTTATAGCTTTAATTAAATAATGCCTTTCAATACTTCTTAAGAAGTACTTGATCGTTACTTAATGGGAAGCCACACAAGAACTTTGAAGTTCTCTTGACTTTGAAGGAAGAGATTCGTGCCCAGAATCAGTTGCTTTATGTCTTAACAAGACATCACAAATTACCATAAAAAGTTTCTTTTATTTCTTTATCATTCACACTCTATACATGAAAATCTTTGATTTTCCAAAATCTGGTTCTATTAACAATGACATAATTGTTACAGCTTCGTTTCTAAACGTATTCCAGTGATTGCTAAAGATAAAGGCGATGATGGTTCATGTAAAATTTGTGGGTGACGTTTGGGGATAACTTATTGGCTGAGTCAGCAGTTATCTAATCATTTTGATGATTTGAAAAAAGCACTTTTTATGGAAAGGCGCGTAACGATGAAACGTCATTTATCTCTCCTGCATTATCATCGGGGTTGCTAACTATTCACTCCGTCCCATCTGGCACGGTTTCTAATAAATCCAAGATTTCAGTCGGATATTTCTCTCTCCTACTTGTAAGTATAAAAGGGTTTGGCACGCTCCACTTTACTCTTCAATCACTTCCAAATTCTCTCAAAGAAAAAGGGCGATTTCTCTCACTGTTCATCTTCTTCTTCTCAAAGCTTCATCAATGGCAGAATCCTCTTCAGTTCAAGATACATCTGTTCACTCCAACCTTCTCACCATCAAGCCTCAACAAAACCTCATTATTGATCTTACCACTCTTCATCTATAAATCCTACATGCTGTATGTCGTCGAGTGTCTCAAGTACTCGCCTCTTGTCGACGCTCTTACAAAGGTCGAAGTTGTTCCCATGTCCTGCCTCTCACACATCTATTCAACCACTTACTATGACAAGGTTGCTGAGAGGATTCACTTCGAACTCCACAACGAGAAGACCTCTATCTCCAAGAATCGCTTATGTGCCCTAATTGGTCTTGCTCATGAACCCACTATGGTAAACCCTGATTCGATTACTACTGGTCAACTATTCTCCATGTTCTACCAAATGGGGTACACTGAAACCCTAGCCACCATTATAAAATTCAAGAAGTCTTGCCTTCCTCCACAATGGAATGGCCTCTTCACTCTTCTATTCAAAGGTCTCTATGAGCGTAGCGCTGGCTCAAATGGAGCAAGAAATTCCTTTATGGCTTTGCTTTATGGGTTGTATCATGGGGTTACCTTAGACTATGGGGCAGTCATTTGGCAACAACTGGTTCAGAGTTTGTCTTCTTCATCCCGACATTTAGAGATTTCATGTGGTAGGTACCGGTCCATTATTACCAAGTGGTCGATGGATCGTCTCTATGTTCCAATCATGGCAGACTCTCTTCTTTCATCTATCGCAACCTTTCACACCACAAAGATCATCATCACAGATCCTACCAAGTATTCCTTCATTGGCTCGATCCCAGCAGCTATGTATGCCTACGTGTCCGATGCAAGCAATGGTATACAAGAATACAAAAAGCTTCCTTCTTCGGGCCCGAAGGAACTCACTCCTAATATGATTCGCTCTATCGAGGAAGCAGACAAGCCTACGAAGAGGGGCAAGAAACCAGAAACTCAGAAGGAGGTGAGAGTTACCAAACCATTCAAGGGACCAACTCCCAAGAAGCAAAAGTCATACAAAGTTGCTCCTTCCCAACCCAAGCAGAAGAAGTTGAAGAAGCCAGCCCGAAGACTCATTCTTCAATCTTCCAGTGATTCAGATTCTTAGTATGTTCCTCCTATTACCAAACCTTCTACTCTCATGGACTTAGAGAGTGAAAGCTCTGACGAGGAGGCTTCGGCTCCTGGTGATACAACACCTTTCTCCCCTACACCTGAGGTACATGTTCGGTCCAAGGCCCCTTCTCCTACACCAGTTTTTGTTCCTGTTTCTATACCTCTTATTTTTCCCATCACTACATCTCAACCATCCACTACCATTCCCATTTCTGCTCCAATCTTTATTGAAACCACCACTACCACCACTACTTGAGTACGAACCAACGTATCTGATATGGGGGCTCGTTCTTCAGAAACCGAACCTCCTGTCACAACCGAACCGCCAGTTACTACCGAACCTCTAGTTACCACCAAACCACTATCTCCTACCCAGTCCACTGAAACCAACATGGTTCTAGGCGGTGAGGACTTGGAGTTTGACTCTACTTATTTCAGTCCCTACCGTGTCCAGAGTGATGAAGATGAAGATGCTCCAGTAACCAAACACCATCTCAAGGTTGTTACTGACAAGCTTGATCAGCTTCTTTCCTCTTCCTCCACCAGTGCTTATTCTGATGCCGCTCTAAAAGCTCTGTTCTCTTCAGTCGTTACAGAGCATGATGTTTCTCTTTCTGTTGTTGCCAAGGCTATCGAAGCATCTACTTCTCAATGTTAGAATCCCTTGCATGTCGTTGAGGCTTCAACGAAGGAATGCAAAAAAGCGACTGCAAAAGTCGATAAACTAATTTCTGAGGCTCAACTTTTCCTCGATTCTTTGCAGGCTACAGCTCAAAAGAACTCTCAAATAGTGAATGATTTGGTTGATAACCTTAAGCGTGTTGGATAAGGTGTCTAAGTCCATAACTATTTCTGGTATGTACTTGACCCGACCCGGCATGGTCCATTTGGGTTGCATGGCACCATGCAATTGGATAGACTAAATGAGAGAAATAACACTTGGAGATTATTAATATATTATAAGTTCTAATATATTAATAATATTATATTATTAGTTTGATCAAGAATTAATTTAGAATTAATTAAGTGATCAAAAGATAACTAATTAAATATATGGGTTGATTATGTAAATCATCCATATCTTGTATAGTGGGCTAAGAGGCTCCATGGATTATCAAGTTAGGTTCCACCCATAGGATGCTCCATGGATGCTCCATGGGAGTTACAAACCCATGGGTCATGGAAATGAAGAGTCATGACACATTAGGGTTTACATGGTGTAACCCTAGATGTGTCAACACTATATAAGATCTCATTCTCCACCAAAATCGGCTACACTAAGGAAACAAGAGGGCTTGGCCGATTTCAAGAAGTGTGTGTTCTCTCATAAGTTTTTCCAAGAGCATTTGGTGTTGTGTGAAGCATTTGAGGCATCACACTTGGGGTGCTAGGCTCACAAGGTTTCAAGGAACACAAGCAACAACAAGGTAAGTTATTCTATCTATCATTCAAGTTAAAATTGTTCCCCATGTATGCTAGATAGGAATATAGCCTTGGAATTCAACTTTGCATGATAATTAGACAAACATAGATCCAAGGTTATTAGGGTTGCATGTACACTTAGGAAGTGTTAGAATGCTCAAAACCCATCAGTGGTATCAGAGCCTAGGCTTGTTTGCTTTTTATTTGTGCTTAAAAGTTGAAAAAAGTCGAAAATCTTGCTGTCTACGAATGGACTCGTCGAGTCTATAGGGGGACTCGTCGAGTTCACGTGTATCTTCAACCAACTCGGCGAGTAAGTTCATGCACTCGGCGAGTAGGGTCGACAGGTTGCAGAATTTCGACTTTAGTTGCTGGAAATGAATTAGAAACATTACCCTAAACTGTTTTGGTACTTGAAAACTTGTTTTAGATGGTGTAATGTCTTTGCTAATTCATTTACAACAACTAGTTATCAAAATTACAAAGTTTTAAGTGTAATTTTGATTTATGAATGTGTTCATATTCATGTTCTTGTTCTTATGATGTTTTAGATGATCATAGGAATTATTTGTAACCTATGTGGTAGATTAATTCTTGATCATAATGTGTTTTAATGGAGTCCATAACTTGTCCTCAAGTTATGGAAAACCAAGAGTCACACTTGAATTAAAACCATTAAAAGAACACAAGAGTTAGAAAATGAAGAGTCTTCATTTTATTACTCTATTAAACTCATAAGTTACAAGAAATGAAAAGTTTTGAAAGTTACAAAACTTGCCCTCAAGTTTTGGAACAAGTAAAGTTAAGTTAAAACTTTAGTTCCAACCCTAGAATTTTAAAAGTTAAAATTCAACCCTTATACTTATATTATGATGATTTAATAATTATATATATATATATATATATATATATATATATATATATATATATATATATATATGTATAAGAACAAAGTCGTCTTACCGCTAGTACGCCTCATTCACGAAGCCGGTCTATAAGGTGGGTATAAGGTTGTTGCCTATAAAATGGTGACTTAATGGGTGTCTACTCTCACCCACCGCTTGCTTGACTGGTGGAGGGTCGTTAGCCGAACGGGTAAGACAAGGACTTATAAATTCTCATTCAAAGTATGATGAATATTATAAAGTAACTAAATGTTTTATTAAATTCCCAATCTTAGTTACTTTAGGAAAATGTGAATAAGGTGCTAATCCATGAAATTACACTTTACACTTTGTCTAAGTCGTTGGTGGAGCGTGTGTGGTTAACCGGCACACTAACTTGGACTTAACAAGGTAGGTAAAGGGTGACTTAAGGTTTATTATAGTATCGGTGGAGCGTGTGTGGTTTACCGGCACATCGATTGAGTGATAAACTTTAAGGGTACCAAGTGATTTGCATGGTTACTTCACACCTCGTTTTGTGATCCTCGGTATCCCAGTCACAAAACTTGGAGGGCACACTCGAGATTGAAACATGCCTTTGAAAAGTTCATTGAATCTCAAAGAATCTAGGAATTTCTAAGAACCAATCATAAAACCTAATATCTAATATTTCGGTTTTCGTGGTGGAAATTGGTGAATCGTCATTCACCTACCTTTCAAATATGTTATAGCTTGGATTACGGCATACCTCTTCTAAGTTATAATATATTGTGATTGGATCCTAGCCTTAATATTACATTTGGGTGTTTTATTAAGGACTCTCTTAATATCTAAACTAATCTTGTCCTCTTCCTTCAGATGTCTTCAAACAATGCTGCTTCTGGCTCGAATCCTAATGGCTCCTTTACTCTTATGAGCTTGTGTGGGAAAGTCACTTTTGATGGATCCAACTTCAATGAGTGGATCAGAAACATCAGGATGATTACCCGCTACGAGGACAAAGAATATGTCCTCGACAAGGAGCTTAAGGAGATTGATGAGACCACTGCAACTCCTCAGGAGATCGCTGACTTTCAGGCACATGAAAGGGATGCTACGAAAGTAGCATGCATCATGATGGCCACAATGACAGCAGAACTCCAAAAGTCCTATGAGGATTTCTACCCTTATGAAATGCACCAAGATTTGATGGAAAGATACCATCAAAGTGCACGACAAGAGAGGTACGAAATCATCTGCTCCATGATAACAACCATGATGAAGGACGGGGATTCCGTCACGAGCCACATGCAGAAAATGCAAAGGTATGTGGATCGATTGCTGAAGCTTAATGTGAACTTCCCTGAGGAGCTTGCAATAGATATAATTTTGCGCTCCTTACCATCGTGCTATGATCAATTCCGCATGACATATCACATGAATAAGGAAGAGGTCACACTCAGCAAACTTCAGGGACTTCTCAAGACCGCAGAATCAGGTCTTAAGGGGAAGTCGGTTGTTAACACTCCTACTCCAAACTCCACTCCGGTTTTGGCAATCGGGAAAAGTCGAGGGAAGAAGAGAAAGAGTTCTTCGAAGGGTACCAAGGTTAGGACCCTTGATGGCTCTTCTTCAAGTGGAACCAAGAAAGGTTTCGTCACTCCTTCTTCTGACCCAAAAGAGGCTGAATGCTTCTATTGCCATGAAAAATCACATTGGAAGCGGAACTGCCCAAAATACCAGCAAGATGTGAAGGATGGGAAAGTTAAACCCAACCATGCAGGTATTTACACTATCATTTCTAATAACTCACCCCATTCGAAATCTTGGGTCCTTGATACCGGTTGTGGTATTCACATTTGTTGTGACTTGCAGGGACTAAGAAGAAGTGAGAATGTGGAGCAAGGAAGAATAAACTTAATCATGGGGAATAGGAAAGTTACACCTGTCACCAAGATTGGAGTTTATACTTTATCGCTAAGTAGTGGGTTAAATTTAGATTTGAATAATGTTGTTATTCGCCAGAAATGGCAAGAAATATTATTTCCTTTCATGCATTGTACAAACAAGGTTTCACCTTTTCATTTGATAATGAAGTTGGTTCGATTAATGCTTTCTTTAATAATGTTCTTTATTTTAAAGCATTACCTTGTGATGGTGTGTATGAAGCTGTATCTGTTGTAGATAACTCAGGAAATAATGTTTTGTGTATTGATTCTCCTAATAATAATAACTTGGATAAAGCATCATTATGGCATTGTCGTCTTGGACATATAAGCAAGAAACGCATAGGCCAACTCCAAAAGGATGGAGTCTTGGAGTCGTTTGACCTAAAGTCAGATGATAGTTGCGAATCATGCTTACTTGGAAAAATGACAAAGTCACCCTTCACAGGCTCGTGTGAAAGGGGTGAAGGTTTGTTGGACCTTATACACACGGATGTGTGTGGACCATTCAAACATGCCACAAGGGATGCTAATCGTTATTATTTGACTTTTACTGATGATTACAGTAGATATGGATATGTCTACTTAATCAAGCATAAGTCAGAGACTTTCGAGAAGTTTAAGGAATTTAAACAGGAAGTCGAGAATCAATTGGGCAGGAACATTAAGATGCTTCGATCCGATCGAGGTGGTGAGTATCTTAGTTCAGAGTTCCTCGACTATCTAAGGGAATGTGGGATTGTCTCACAATTGACACCTCC